TCTGTAAGGGTGCGGACCCTATTGTGTGGGTCCGCCCTCGGAGCCGGATTGATCTGGATGGATTCCTGAAGGCTCTGGGGGAGTTTCTGGTTGATAAAGCTGGCGCTCCTGTTGATGCTCTGGTTGAACTGTGGAATGAGGAAATGGCCAGAGCTATTGACACGATCACTCCTAAGCGTCCTCTCCCACCGGGCAGAGCCCGCTCTTCCCCTTGGTATACACCTGAATTGTGGGCGATGAAGCGGGTTGGGAGCCGGCTAGAGCATAGGTGGAGGAAATCTCAGGATGAATCTGACCAAACACACTTAGAGCCCATTATCGGGCCTATGCTGTGGTGGTGAGGGCGGCGAAGAAGAAATTCTCCACTTCCATTGCCTGCTCACAGTGCCGTCCAGTGGAACTTTTTTGGGTGGTACAGGGGCTGGTACATCCAGACCCTAAGAAAGATCCTGTACCACCCTCGATAACCCGCTGTGACGACTTTGCCCAGCACTTCAAGGAGAAAGTCGCTCAGATTCGTCATGAGCTGGACTCCACTAGTGACTCAGATTCCTTAGGGGAGGTGCCAATGTTACCGTCTGGTCACATATTGTTGGATGAGTTTCAGTTATTGCGGCCTGATGATGTGGACAAGGTGCTTGGACAGGTACGTACCACCACCTGTTTACTGAACCCTTGACCATCATGGCTACTGCCCAAAACCAAAGATGGGATTGGTTCCTGGATCCTGGAGGTCATCAATGCCTCTCTGACGGCCGGCCGGGTGCCTGCCCCTTTAAAGGAGGCGGTGGTCAGGCCGGTGCTAAAGAAGGCGTCCCTGGATCCAGAGATGGCTGCCAATTATAGACCGGGTACTTTGCTTCCTGATGTCTCCAGTCCAATTTACTGGACATCCCATTCTTGGGCAAGGTGTTGGAACGGGTGGTGGCGGGACAACTCCAAGCTCTCTTGGATGAGACTGATTATCTGGACCGATTTCAGTCCGGCTTCAGACCCGGATATGGTACTGAATCTGCCTTGGTTGCCCTGTATGATGACCTGTGCAGGGAGAGAGACAGGGGGAGTGCGTCCCTGTTGGTTCTCCTGGACCTTAGTGGCTTTCGATACATTGACCATGGTATCCTTCTGGGTAGGCTAAAGGGGCTGGGAGTAGGAGGCACTGCTTGGCAGTGGTTTCGCTCCTACCTCGACGGCCGATTCCAGAAGGTGGTGCTGGGGGACTTTGCCTCTGCGCCATGGCAGCTATGCCATGGAGTACCACAGGGGTCCATTTTGTCCCCCTTGCTATTTAACATTTACATGAAACCGCTGGGAGAGGTCATCTGGAGGTGTGGGCTGCGGAATCATCAGTACGCTGATGATACGCAGTTCTACCTCTCTTTTTCAACCAATCCAGGTGAGGCATGAACTGGTGCCTGGCCGAGGTAATGGGCTGGATGAGGGCCAATAACCTGAAGCTCAATCCAGACAAGACGGAGGTCCTGCTGGTGGGTGGTTTGAACTCCTGGGTAGGTGACTTGGATCTTGTCCTGAATGGGGTTGCACTCCCTCTGAAGGACAGGGTCTGCAGCTTGGAAGTGCTCCTCAACTTGGAGCTGTCTTTGGAAGCTCAGGTGACAGCAGTGGCGAGGAGCACTTTCCATCAGCTTCGGCTAATCCATCAGCTGCATCCTTACCTGGAGGACGACTGCCTGGCGACAGTGACACATGCATTGGTTACTTCCCGGTTGGATTTCTGTAACGCTCTCTACGTGGGGCTGCCCTTGCAGACAGTCCGGATACTTCAGATGGTGCAAAATAGAGCAGCCAGCTTGCTGACGGGGACTGGGCGTTATTCTCATATAACTCCAGTTCTCTACCAGCTTCACTGGCTTCCCATCGAAGTCCGGGCTCAATTCAAGGTGTTGGTAATCACCTATAAAGCCCTTAATGGCTTGGGACCTGGATACCTGAAGGAACGCCTGTGTCCATATTTGCCCTCCCGCCCCTTGAGATCGGCAGCAGAGGCTCTCCTCCAGGAGCCCTCAGTAAGAGATATCAGGAAGCAAAGCACCCGGAGGAGGGCTTTCTCTGCGGTTGCACCCCATCTGTGGAATGCACTCCCCAGAGAGGTCCGCCTGGTGCCATCGTTATTTGTTTTTTGGCGCCACGCTAAGACCTATTTATTCAAACAATATTTTAACAATGTTTAATATTTATTGGATTTTAATTGTGCAGCCAGGGTGTTTCCAGGTTTTTAACTGTATTTGTATGATATTTATTTATTTATTTCTGTGAGCTGTCCCAAGGCTATATAGCAAGGGGACGGCATATAAAAACTTTAAATAATATAATAAAATAATAATGCTTCCAGCGCCTAGCCCATTTTCTCATTTGGATTTAACTTGGGATCTTCACAATACCCAAGTTTTCAACCTGTCTGAGATCTCGGGTAGTAGAGATCCCAAGGGGGGAAATCTTGCCGTTTAGGACCTCCACTTGCCTGCTGCTGTCTTGCAATATGTACTGAATCTGCCTGGAAACCTGGACTAGAGAGCCCCTGAAAAGGCATGTCCGTACTGCCTTGTACCCTCATCCACTCTAGCATGGGTTTACTGTGTCTTTTGATCTGCCTTGACACATGTCCTGTGGGAATTGCAATGTAGACTCTATTGCTGATCACTGATCTCTGCTCTTGTGTGTGTGTGTGTATGTGTGAGTGTGTGTGTGTACATCGTGAATTGTCTGGATTGTTATCTTACCTGTCTTTATTGCAACCTTGCAATTAGGAACAATCAAATTGTATTAGAATTGTATTAAATTATATTACAATCTTCCCTTATATCAGGAAGCACAGAGATACCAACTTAGCAAACTAATTTGGAACTGATCACTGACATAGTTGTAAATACAGTGAGGAACCAGGACTGAGGAGACCTGGTTCTAGTCCCCACTCAGCCATGGATCTCATTAGGTAATTTTGGGACAGTCACAGGCTCTCAGCCTGCCCTACCTCACAGGGCTGTTGTCATGAGGACAAGGCTGAAAGGAGAATTATGTAAGTCGCCTTGAGTTCCTTGAAAGGAAAAAAGGTGGGCTATAAATATAATGCATGCATGCATACATACAGGACATGGTTGCAAGCCAGGTGCTTCGTTACCATGTACGAGAAATTAGTTCATGACACAAGCAGGATAAGACCTTAGGGTGATTTGGTGAAAGCTACAGAACAATTCTTTTTCAATATTTACAAACTGAACAACTTTGGTAAACTGCTTTTGAGAGATTGATCATTGACAATTAAGTTAAACAACAGTGGTATAAATTTACCGCCTACCGGTGTTTACTCACAATGAAACAACTGTTTGAGGCAGGATGCTCCCAAAAAGTGTGGACCTGGTGAGGCCTCAGGTCATAGGAAACATGAATCTCAGAGAAAGCCTGTATAAAATCATTGTTGATAGTAATTGACATCTTACAGAATGAGAATGATCTATCCAGGAATGAATAGTCACTACTATGGATAGTCATAGTGACTCTGTAGCAGTCGTGACCGTGTTCGTATTGTTTGGTCCTGTCCAAAGATTGAGGAATTTGGTGTATGAGCTCCCCTGGGACCCTTTCATAGTTTTGTGAAGGAAGTAGTGAACCCAGGGGACAGTGAGATGTTGGTTCCCTTACTAAGTGCAACTGTCTGCTTTTAAGTAAAAGCTGGGGGAGAGGAATCAAAGCCCCCTCGTGATGAATGGTATTTGAATGCTTCAGAAATTGTTTGTATGGTCAAACTCCTCGTTTAGTGAAGATTGGTGAGGGGAAGCAACAGATTGGTTCATTGAAAGATGGAACTTGTTCATAATGTATTGGAATGATAAAATTCAAGATGCACTTCAGCTCTTTATGTTATTAGGATTCATATAACTATTTTTTCCTTCCCTTTTGGTGAATCTAATTAAGGATGGATATTATTAAACATGTTTTCATTTCTACTTGGGGAATTTGTGAATTCATTAACTTTTGAAACAATAAATGCTTTCCTTCTATATCCCTCCTTCCCTTTTGCTTTAGCCTGATTTATTTTTCCTCATCTCAATTCACTGTTTATTCCAAGCTATGTCCACCCCACAAAAATAATTAGGGCAAAAATAATTATCCTACAAAATCTGTAACTGGACCTTCTACATTGCAAAAGGTTGAAATGCAGTCCTGGGTATGAGACTGGACTGGTGTGTTGGTGTGTGAACTCTCAACTCCACATTGGTTTTCTGTCCTCCAAGGCAAGCTGCTATTTGTCTCCTTCAGGGTAACTGACAGGTGCTAGGTGGGTACTGTTTTTCCCCACAAAGCAAATAGAAAGTTTGGCATAGAAACTGTAGAATAGAAACTATACTAGCAGTATAGTTTGGGAAACTGAAGCAGAGGTATGAGTAAAAGCTCCCTTCCCAGGCACCAGGACCTGATCTAATCTCCCTTCTCCTTCTTCTTAATCTTTTTTGGGGGAAAATGCAATACAACTAATTATGGCTCTCCCAGTGTCACATAGTTTGGCCCACTGAAAGCAGTACTTTGTTCATGAAAACAAAGGTCACAATTTCCTTTGGGATTAACATTGGTTGTTGTTGCTTTCCATCTTTTGATTGCCAGCCCAACATCTGTTAAAAGCTACTTTTTTGTATCTTTAGCTTCTTTTCTAAAATGTTTGTATTCCCCCTCTGTTTAACACCCATCCACTTTGTTAGATCCACTCAATATTCTGCTGTTCTTGGCTGCTTAATCCTCTGCAGTGGAGAATAAGCAGAGCAAGGGTTAAGGAGCAAGCAAGCATATAGCAAGCTGCCAGCCATATCCCCCTCTCCTTGCTCAAACATCAAAGAAATAGCTAGTGTAGGGACTTTACTGTAACCTTAACGTGACAGAATGGGAAAGAGACCCAATCAACCCTTGTAAAAACAACCCTCCTAGGGAAGGCTTCAAGGAGATCTCTCTACAGCAACCAGCAGAAGAAGCCTGAGACTTTTGGGGGAAGTAAAGGAGCAGCATATGAAACTGAGCTTGTGACTCTTAGGCATCAGGTGAGTCTCCAGTCGCCTCTTTCACAGAAGGCCCAGTTTTATTGTATCTGGCAATACTATGCAGTGTATTGTTGCATATCAGACTTAGTTCTCTATGTGTATCTGAATAGTCCTAATAGTTGACTATTCAAGCATACATTTCTGAATGCCACTGGAAGCCTCCCAGCAAACTCAGATGCTGCAGGTGTGCAAACCTAATACTCCAATCCCACCTGATCTTTGGCTTCAGCTGTTATGAGGCTGATTTAGCATCCTGAGTCTAGGGATGAACAAAAATTGCATTTTTACTTATTTTTTGATAAGGATATACCACTGCTTGCACACGTTTTCATATCTGGGGTGGTAAGAATTTGGTATTTAAAAGTTTGAATATGGGAGAAACAAGCGGACCAAGAGCTTCTAACAACTTAACTCTTAAAAGTCTAGATTTGAATTCCTCTGTTTTTCACCTTTTCTTTACAACAGGCTCCTCATTTTTAAGGGGTATATGGCAGGCAGGTACAACATGGTCATCTTTGTGCTGGGAATAGCTATACTTATTGAATTTACCCAATGCAGATGGCTAGGAATTTTGTTTCAGTTTAGGCTAAATAAGAATTTACCAAAATGCACATATTGCTCTGTATTTATGATGGAGAGAACTTGAGATTTAAAAGTTTTGAATGCAAGAGAAACTGACAGATTTGTTCAGCCCTACTTAAGACCCAAAAAGCATACAGGCAAATATCCATTTCATCAAATGTTTATAACAATCAGGGTGTCCTACAGTACATGCTTTGTTCAAACATCAGCTTCCTGTGTGTTGTGGAAGTACCGCAATGACTATGATAGCCCTGATCAGTGAGGTAAAAGCATCATTGTAGAAAGAACGTAACTTGGAAATTCACCTTTGCAGCTTCCAATGACAACTGACAGAAACGACTGGATTCCAGACCATGAAACTACAGTTGGTGCGAAGTTTCTACAAAAGGTGCAGGAAAGCCCGCTGGTGCCAGCTGGTGAGTTTGAGGGGAGCCTGTAGTGGTTCTCCCAACAAATCTGCATCATCTTCCCCCGATCAGCAATTGAGAGAAGTCCTTTGAAAAGGATTTGATATGATGGGAAGAGCAATGTAAAACAATTGTAGGGGGAATGCAACCCTGGGTACTCCCAAAGGCTGGAGATAGGCAGGGAGGTAGAAGGAAGACTTCTAAGCATGTCTAGGGCAGGGATAGGTATGCCCTTAACAGGTAGAGAACATTAGGAGCTGGAGTAGAAAATATATGAAATTGCTTATACTGAGCTGGTCTTCCCCAACCTGGTGCCCTCCAGATGTTTTGGATAGCTCCCATGAGCCATAGCTAGCAAGGACAACCATCAAGGATATAATGGGAGGTGTCATTCCAAACATCTGTAGGATACCAGATTGGGAAAATCATAGAATAGTAGAGTTAGAAGGGGCCAGAAGGCCATTTGGTTCAACTCCCTGCTATCTCAGAACACTGAGATACACCATCCCATTCTGATGACTCTCCAGACGCTTTTTGAATGCCTCCAGTGAGGGAGAGCTCACAACTTCCCCAGTAATATCTTCCATTGCCACTGTGCTCCAACAATGAGGAAATTCTTCCTGGTGTCTAGGCTAAATCTAGTTTCTTTTAACTTAAATCCGTTATTCCATGTCTTCCATCTTCCAAATGAAGCTGCCTGAGTTTGAACCTCTGACCTTTTGTGTACAAAGTGTGCCCTGCTAGTGCCACAGAGCTGAAAGCTGGCCTTCTCTATCTTGGTATTTGATTTGAAAGCAGATACTATTACTCTTTGTGTCTCCAGTTGCCAGATCCTCTACCCCCTGCTGCTACCTCAAACCTTTATTTTGGAAACCAAAGGCAGGTTGGAGTGAAGCAGTTCAGGCCCACAAATCTATGTTCACCAAAAATCTAAATTCTCTACTGGTTTTTACAGAGCTCCCAAAACAGTAAGAAACAACCTCTGAAAGATGTGAATCATCACTATTCTAAAACTGAAGGGCATTCCGTTCACGCGTGTTTCTTGTTTTATCATTGTGCAATCTTTTAGCATATGGGCAAGTAAAGACATTTTAGAAATACTAAAAATCACAAAGATCTTCCTAAGTGGGAGAACAGGCTAGTAATACAAGAAGCTGTTCAAGATGATTAAATATCTCCTTTCCTCAAGTAAAAGAAGAAAGGTTTGACGAGTATTAGTCTTGCCTCTTGTGGGTATAGAAGGTGCTTTACTTCAGGGAGAAACTGTGAGGGGCTCAGGGAGAAACTGTGAGGGGCTGAGTGACTATGCAGAGAACCATTTAGAACTGGTTCTACAAGCTGCAGTCCAAGGGCCACAAAGGGCCTCTAGACTTATTTCAAAGGCCTTTGGCAACCCACTCAGAACTCTGGCAATCTGTCCCTTTTTTAACAGACGAGTGAACAGGAAGGGAGAGAGAAGTGGGGACCAAAAGTGGGGGCAAGGCAGCACATACACCAGCCCTGCCTATCTCTGGTATGTGGGCAACAGATTATCCCTAAGGGAATACTGCTTGAGAGAACAAAAAATGCTATCAGTGCATCACAAATATGATTCCCTTGCTTATCTGGCCCTACAGGCATGGTGGGATGTGTAGTTGTGACAGCCTATGGACTATACCGAATGAAGAAGAGGGGAAGTATGAAGATGTCTGTCCACCTGATTCACACTCGAGTCGCTGCCCAGGCCTGTGTGGTTGGAGCTGTAATTCTTGGTAAAGCGGTAGGGATGAAGGGAATCTGGGTGATCGGGAGAGATTTGTATGGGCACAGGTACTTTGGGATCACCTGAGCTTCCACCAACAATTATCAACATCAGCATTGTTATTCTAGGCTGCCTTTCAGGGTTCATCCACATACCTATTACGCTTCATCCTAAACCACTCTCCCAGTGATTTTAGGTAGATTATAAAAAACACAGCACCCCACAGGCTAATGGTCATATGGTGGGAAAAAGGCCCTCCAATATGGCTTTTCTGCATCTGCTTCTTTAGGAAGGACTGTTGTTGTTAGTCGCAAAGTCATGTCCGACCCATCGCGACCCCATGGACAACATTCCTCCAGGCCTTCCTGTCCTCCACCATCCCCTGGAGTCCACTTAAGCTCACACCGACTGCTTCAGTGACTCCATCTAGCCACCTCATCCTCTGCCGTCCCCTTCTTCCTTTGCCATCTATTGTTCCCAGCATTAGGCTCTTCTCCAGGGAGTCCTTCCTTCTCATTAGGTGGCCAAAGTATTTGAGTTTCATTTTCAGTATCTGGCCTTCTAAAGAGCAGTCAGGATGGATCTCCTCTAGGAAGGACTGGAACCACTTTAACACTTTGCTTCCTTCACCAGAAACCAGAATACCATGGTCTATCACATTGACAGTTGCTGAGAGATTGAGAAGAAACAATAGGATTGCACTCCCCCACCATCCATTCCCTAGTATAAGTCACTGATTAGAGTGACCTGTTTCTCTCCCAAAGAAATATTTGAAACTTGATAGGAATGGATCTAAATAATCAAAGTAATCCAGTTCTGCTTAAAGTACAAATTTACTGCACACTCCTTTACCTTGCACAAGAATGGACAGTAGTTATCTGGAAGCTCTAAATTTGGCTTTGTGGTCTAAATTTGGTTTCTTCAACAAGGAGTTCGCCATTATTTCATTCAAAGCTGTAGGGAACTAACCATCCCTCAAGAAAACACTGACCACTCCAAAGATACAAAGACAAAGCTCAACTGTGGCAGATTTCACTTGAATGAGGAGGAGCACTTAGTCCTCCAAGCAATTTGTTCAATTTGAAAGGTATCCATCCCTGGCTGTGTCAAAACCATAGCCACCACATTGGCACAGCTATGAACAACTCTGTTTGCAAAACATCCAGCAAATTGCTCATAGCTGGTCTTTGAAGGTTCAAGCTGTTATATTCTAAAGTGTAAACTCAAGATGACTATAACAACCTAAAAATGTTCTGCTTGACACTGAGCAGAGGCAATGGTAGTATACAATTGGGATTTACCACCACTGCCACAAAATAACCTGTCTTCAACCATCTTTGTTATACTGCTATATTTAGTATATTATTTTTGCATTCGAATGGTCAACACAGTAATTTCATGACCCTTGGCACCTTGGGCTATAAAGGAGCTGGCACAGTCAGGGGCATTTGGGAGAGATCATATTGAAATTCTAGGTCACCCTCTCATTCCAAGTAAAGACTAGGGCCTTGGCAGAATCACTGGTTACACATGGAGGAACAGAAATTCACCTTGATTCATCAGCTCCCAGAGGCAGATGATCAAACTTTTTAAAAATGATTTTTTTACTATGTGTTACAAAATCAAACCATACCCTGGAGAGATAAAAGAAGACAGACCAAAATATTACCATTTTTGGATAAAATTTAAAGGATCCGTACATACTAATGTATAGAAAAAAGTACTACAGTGGTACCTTGGCTCACGAACTTAATCCGTTCCATGACTCTGGTTGCGACCCAAATTGGTTGTGAGCCAAGTCAAATTTCCCCATAAGCTTCAATGTAAATAAGGTTAATCCTTTCTGGAACCATTTTTTTAATCACAAAAATTTGAAACAAAGTGACAAAGAATAACAAAGTAACAAAGAACAACAAAGATTGCGGCCATTCCCCCCCCCCCCACCACCACAAGCACAATCGCAGCCATAGACAGGTGCAATCATGATCGCACTCAGCCAGGGAAGATGGGTGTGATCGCAGCCATCGCCCCCAACAGCACGACCGCGATCGCATCCATCTCCTTCCCACAGCACAACTACGATTGTGCCCATGCAGGGAAGACGAGCACGATCTCAATCGTCACTCGATGTGGAGTTTGTGACCTGAGGCAATTTTTTTCTGAAATTTCTGTTCGCACCCAATTTGGTTGTGAACTGAGGCTTTTGTGAGCCAAGGTACCACTGTATTGTTAAAAATAATTATACCAAAACTTCAACAAAGGCACTCCAAATATCAATATATTTATTAATGTGCAAATGTTCAAATATATTTATCAATTCGTAAATTATGCCTAAAACCCCATTCAAAAATAGGAAGTTTCATTAAATTCTCCACCCATTATATTATTGCAGTTGACCATGTATTCTTCCAGTATTGTAGCAGTATTAATCTTTTAGCTGTCAAATGCATGTGGGAAATCCACTTACACTAACCTTGCATCATGACCCTGCATTAAATTTCAAGAGTTGGGTAGGCAATTCAAAGAACACGTGTATCCTTAAATATTAAAGATCTCCCTGTCACAAGATTCATCTGAATTATTACGTCCTCTCAAAAGGAAGCTGCCATGGGGCAATCCCAAAATGTATGAAGAATGCGACTCCAAAAACTGGCTAATTTAATTAAGCCAGTAGATGAGACTTTGTGGTGCCAGTATACTTGAAACATCCATTTTTGCTGAGTTAAGTTAGGATCTTAAGATCTTAAGATCTGTGACCCCTTAATAATGAAATGCTCCATTGATTGGGCAAAATGAATGCTCCAATTCTTTATTCCATTCTTGGCTGAGACCATGTGTGTGATATTATACACATGAATTATAGGCTGATGTAACTGTTTAGCCTCAAGCAATACTTCCAGTGGCACAGGCAGCTCTGGGCTGTAGTAAGAAGCAGCACCAAACCCAATTCTAACAAATGTTTCAATTGCATGTATTGCCATGTAGCTATAACTGGCAACTTATAGTTAGTACGCAAAGCAGCAAATGGAAAAAAATATGATCAGGACCAATAAGATGATCAGTCTGTCTAAGTCCACAAAGGTTTTCTTGTGGACTTTTAAAATATGGATTTCCCATAAAATTAATTTTGTGTGAGAAAATAGATAAAAGTGCAATTGGTATGAAAAGCTGTGTCACAACTCTCTAGCTGTGTCAACTTGGATGGGGCACATTTTCTATTTAGGTAGATAAGAGAGCCCAATGCAACCCACTTGGAAAGAGGATCCAGAAATGAGGGTTCCAAAACTTCCCAGGAAGAGGAACCTAACCAAGGTGAAAAAGACCAAAATGTAGTGCAAGTCAACAAATGGGCCTGATAGTATATGGAAAGGTTGTGGAGTCCTTATTTTTGATCACAATGTGCATCCTTTTCAAGAATATTCATGGTGGTGTGGAATGCCCCCAAAATGTACAAAATAAAACACTAAGCTTCTAGAAAGTTACCCAGATGTAAACGAAGGTATACTATACAAAGTATAAACAATGTGAGGCATCACATTCATTTTAAGTGTATTAACTCTGCCCCGTAGACTTTCTCTTGATATTTTATTAATTGGCTTTCATTTGTAATAAATCTCCAGGGACAAGTATTCCTAAATAAGTAATAAATTCAGCCTAACGTCTAAATTACCAGTTACTTAAGTCTCTATATTACTGCAGATTTATATCTGATTTTCCCCAGTTAACAGAATAAGCAAGAGAAATATCAAAAATCAGAAATCACCTGCATCAAAGCCTGAATAGATGACTGGAGTTCTGAGATAAATAACAGGTCATTGGTATAAAGAATAAATGTATATTCTACTTTATATTCTAATATATTGTGCACAAATCCAAGGATGTTAAGTTATGTCAGGCAGCGTATATTAAAGGTTTCAAACATAAGTCGTATATCAATGGAGAGACAGGACATCCCTGTCTAGCAACTCTCTCAAGTAAGAAAAACTCAGACAAAGCACTGCTGGTCCTAACTCTCTCTCTACAGCTTATATGTTTTTCTAAAATTTTACATAAAATTTTAACCTGTTTCTGAAATTCTGTTTGCAATCCACGCTGACTTCATTCCTTCTACTTCTATACCATGTGACACCCAAGGCTCCCTGGGCAGTTTACAGAATGATAAAATGTAAACCTGCAAAAATCTGAAACACTTAAAAGCAATAAACTATAAAGCCAAAGGGTCTGAGTGGCTGCAACATGCCATTTCCTTGTTGCAGTACCTGAACTATAGTCATAACACCTATGTTATACTAGGCACACTTTAAATTGCAAACCAGAACCTGCCTCTGCTTGGCTATGAGATGAAAGCATTGTAGTTTTACCAAGAAGCCAGGTAGTTTTGCATGAAGATAGCACTGGGCACAGTCCCAAAATTTTAGCAGGTTTGGAGCCCTTAAACAGTTTTAAAAGATGGCTGAAAAGCAGGGGAGAACATTTTAGGGAAATGAGAAAAACAGATGCCAGCAGTACAGGGCTTGTAAGGGGCAGGCAGAAAGGACAGCAGTGACATGGGTGGTTAACGGCACTTTATGACTAGCAAAAGCAGTATTGTGTGAAATTCTTTGCTAGAAGAACTCTACATTTTCTATAGGCCACTTTCTTATGCTCCCCCTTGCACTAATACTAGTCTCTTGCTCTCAGGTACTGTTTACAATATGTACAAAGACCACTTCCTGAAACAGAAATAGATGGGATGCCGATGGCCTTGGTTTGTCCCTTCTGAGTGGCTTTGAAGATCTGTAAGCCAACTTCAGCAAAGTGCAAGATCATTTGGTTTGCTCTTGCAGAAGAAACATCCCCTGCAGCCTCAACTGCTCATTGCTTACAGCTTATGTGTTTTCCTAAACTCTCTTGATGTGATGTGTATTTTTTAAAAAGTTTGGTTAAGAAGTAACAGAAACCTTATGGAAACAAAGGGCTGGAAAACACTCCCAAAGAACCAAAATGTTACCCTGCCTTTAGGCAGGGGAATAGTATTCTCTCTAAAACAGGGGTGCAGAACTTTTTTCAGCTGGAGGATCATACTCCATTTTTGGAAAAGCTCTCAGGTAATGCATTCCAGAGGTTGGCACGACTGAAGGCAAAGGAGGCAGAATCAACAGTCTGCATATTTTAGTTTAAGGCTGTAAACTAGTCCTTAGGAAAGGGGTTACAGGCTTTTAAAACAAGGAAAAAAAGTACAGTAAAACCAGTAAACCACCAAATAATCTGTGGTTGAGGGAAAAGGGGCTGAGGCCCCCGTAGGGCCAGATTTGGCCTCTGGGGCTGAGGTTCTGCACCCCTGTCCTAAAGTTTCCCTAATGATGTCTAGCCAACCGTTTAATTTCCTCTCACATCCTTCAGGAGAGCATGATATTATTGCTTGCTTCAAACTGTCCATCTAGTCCAAAATTCTTCGCCATCAATGGTCACTGCCATGGTGTTTTAAAAAAAGAAGCAACCAAGTAAACCCACTCCAAATGCTACAAATAAAGCATAATAATGCATGCCTACAGAAAAGCACCCCTTCTTACCAATTTGTTAATAATGCATTGCAAGCAGAGTTTCTTATGTTGAATGTTTTAATTGCCTTTGTATCCAGGTACTTTTTCTAAATGTACATTATACACAATGGAAGATTATTAATATCTAAGGTCACAATTCCAAACATGACCTCAAAGCTTTCCAACTTGAAAAGCATTAAAATGCACATTTTTGGTAAGATGACTTACCATAGAATTACTTATTTGGATCTGCAGGCCTCCTGGGAATGCGATATTCAAGAGTACAAACAAGGCAAACAAATACAGGAAGAGAATGTTGAGAAACGGCTGTGACACGGAGCAGCCAGACAGTCTGCAGGAATATAGAGCTGCACAGACTAGTGAAATGCCATAAAAATAGAGCTGGATTGTAGTTTAGTTTTGTAGTTGGCAGTCCCAACTTTTATCCCTGACATGTTTTCCTAAAACTAGGTTCACAAGAAGCAGGTCTCAGGAAGGCCCCTTGCCTGACTAAGAGAGACAGAGAAAAAAGGCCTCTGCCAAATCCTCCGCACATGAGAGAGATCATCAGCAAAACTCAAGAACAAAGACACACGGAACAAACGTGTGGTTTTTAATGTATCTTTGAAGAGGTAAGGAGAGGAAGCGCACTGCAGACCCAGCTATGAAGTTTTGACAAAAAGCAGACAACGCATATCCAGTTTTCTCCTCCTCCTCTTTCATACACACACGCACACACGACAGGAATCAAGAGCTAGACCAGAATGTCTTAATTTTATTACAAGATGTAAAGAATATTTATTCTTACATTCCTCTCACTAGGTCAAAAATCCTGTAAAACACACAAAAGTCAAACTTCAGACTACTGGCAACATCAAAGAAAGGCAGGGTGGGCCTCTAATAGGCCTTGCACAGGAGCACAATAATGTTGTTTTTTTTAAGAGAAATGAAAAAAGTCAGACTTCGACTGAGAGTTTGCTTTCTCAATCCATTGCCCATACATGGGCTGGGCTTCTCTGGTAATAAGGAAAATGCATGGGCTATGAATTCATAATTCAGCATGAATGAAAAATATTAAATTTCCCACAAATGTTGGGTCAGCTCTGCTGATACTGTTCAGGAGGAAGAAACCATTGCAGAAGTGTCATTTTCTAGAAACCAAGCAATAGCTATTTTTATTGGGAAAAGAGCTTCACAGTAAGAAGCCAAGAGGACCCAAGCCCCAAATCTCTCAAGAGTCCCCAGTCTGCCCAGAGAAGCACATTCTGGGATGGTATAATGCATTTCTGTCAATGTGACATATGTCCAGGAGGAAGGAGTCTGCCCTTTTAGCACAGCAATTAGGCCAAAAGTTTCCTTGGCTGTGGGACAACACTATCAGGAATAAGGAAGTCTTGCTTGTCCACTGGGGAATGGGGACTGATCCAGGGTCATCACATGGGATAGTTTAGCACAACATCCTGTTTGGCCAGCTCCAGCAACATAGGGTCATCGAAGAACTTGCTGATGCTCACATCCTCACTTAGTCCCTGGAGAAAAATAATGGCATGATAAGCACTAGATTAGAAGAGAAGATGGGGTGAAGAGAGTGTGTTTCACTGTAGGGCAAGAACTGCACAAGCCAGGGCAGAGTGAGACTGACTTTATTTGAAGACTTACCTTCCTGCGCCTGGTCTTGATCATAAACTCTCTGGCCAGATGAGGGGCTGGCTGAGGCTCAAGAGGTCGAATCACAATGCTCTTGTCCAAGGGGTCACCTGGCACAATCTGGAAAGTGGGGAAGTACATGGAGTATGGTAAAGGATCTTGCATTCTTGATCCTTTGGACATGGAGAGTGGATGCTGAGAGGTGCTACTTTGAAATCAGGGCTGGGACAGGATGTCCAGGCCACAGAAAGCATCCCACTTTTGCCAGCTTCTCCACAGCCATGAAGAAGTCCAGGAGAAAAGGAGTGGGGCAGGCTGAGCAGAATTTCCACAGCCAGGGAAGTAAGACCTTCAGTGCTATACACAGTTCTCTCCCGTGACTAACAAAAGAGGAATACATTTCTGCAAAAGGCTAATGCAAAATAAGAAAGCATGTTGTTTGGCTTGTATATTCAGGACAAATAATTGCACTTTCCTTGGGACATAATACGAGGCACTTGGAAGCAGAATGCAGATTATTTTAAGTATGATATGCATGCAGCTCTAGTTCCAAGTTCCATCAGCCATCTAATAATATATGGCAAGCTGTGAATCTGAACGCACGCTTGAGACATCTGAAGCACTGGCTTGTTCTTTCTACTACCTGCTGACAAGCCTCCCACCATACTTACTTGCCAGTGATGGAAGACAGAGAGTGAGAACGCTTGTCCCTGTGTGTGTGTCCTGAGGTCTGTCTCAAATCCGAATGAGTCAATGGCTGGGATGAAGGCTTTGATGGTGTACAGAGGGGAGCCTGGGATGGGTGCGTCTTGGGTGACATGGCCTCTACAAAAGAGCAAGACTTCATGTTCCTCCTTTACTTACCTGAGAGTACCCTGGTACAGCTGCCCTGGTAATCTCCTCCTCTCTCCCTGGCAATGTCCAGCTCTACCAGCTCCAAGATGAGGGAGGCGAAAGTGAGCAACTGGCATGGAGGGCAGTACATCCTGACCAATAGCTTAAACATCTTTAAAATAAAACCATTAAAGCAAGAATTCTCTTGCACCACCGTTGTATCATCTTCAGTGCTCTGTGTAATGTGGAAAAAAGGTACATTGCTGGGGCAGTGAGTCCTCTGCAGTGGGTAAATGCCTTTCTAAAAGGCAATTTAATTTCATGGACATCACTACATAAAAGTAGATGGAACTGACTGGCAAAACTAATGCAGTTGTTGACTTTGCTGAGAAATGCAAGTTTCTCTGTCAACCTTAGTGTTCCTTATTCCTGTTCTAGTAATTTAAGCAATAATGCTGACAAACAGTTAATGAGGCCAAACTAAAACATCTAGCCATCAATACTTCTTTATGCAGACATAAAGACCCCTTTCAAAAGAGGTTAAATTTTATTTGCTATTTTTCAGTTTGTATATTTATTCAATTTATCACCTTTTCAAAGGCTCCAGGTGCTTGGAAAAATGTGAGCTACCCTTTACAAAAACATGAATCTTTCACAGGTAGCTATCAGAAATCCAGATCCTCCTAAAAGGGGTTTCCTTGACAGGGCTACCTATGGGGTGTGTGTTTGTTTTGACAGAACATACACATTCATGCTTGCTACATTTTGGCAGCAAACCTCCCTCAGTATGTTGGCCAGGCGAGGCTTGCCATTTGGGATTCCCAAACTGTACATGTGTAAATTGAAAAGCATTTGGAAAAAGCTTGTGCTAGGTTCTTGCACAAAAACAGGGTGTGACAAACCATGTCAGTCCTCCAGTGGGAGTTTGACATTTCGAAGGTACTGTCAATAGCTGTCAAACTTGAAGTTGTCCTTTGTTGCCCAAAACAAGACTGAAAAGGGAGTGGGGAGAGAAAGAGAGAATAATAGCTGGAAGGAGCCAGAAGGCCATCAGGCCCAACCCTCCTGCTCATTGCAGGACTCCAAGTTCACAGATGGTTGTCTAGTTTTATCTTGAATGCCTCCAGTGTGGGAGAACCCACAAACTCGCTAGGTGATTGATTCCATTGTCGTACTGCTCTAACAGTCTGGAAGTTCTTCCTGATGTTTCAGCTGGAACTGGCTTCCTGTAACTTGAACCCTATTAATGTAGCCTGAAATAGCATTTGCCTTTTTTGCAGCCACATCACATTGTAGACTCATGTTCAGCTTGTGATCTACAACAATCCCAGGATCCTTCTCACATGCAGTATTGTTGAACCAAGTATTCCCCATCTTGTAACAATGCATTTGGTTTTTTCTTCCTAGGAGGGGAACTCGGCATTTGTCCCTACTGAATGTCATGGTGTTGTTTTCAGCCTAGCACTTCAATTATCACCTTGAATCTTGTTTCTGTCTTCCAGGATATTAGTTATCCCACCTAGTTTTGTGTCATCTGCAAATCTGATCAGCATTCCTTGCACCTCTTTGTCCAAGTCATTAATAAAAATGCTAAAGAGCACTGGGCCCAGGACTGAACCCTGTGATGCCCCACTTGTTACCTCTCCTCAGTCTGAGGTGTCCTTGATGAATACTTTGCATCCAATTCTGTAGCCAACTGTGAATCCACCTGATAGTTGTTCCAT